CATGATAGGAACCTCGCGCTACGAGCTCCAGGGCCGTTACAGTTCAACTGGAGCCCCCATACGCTGCACCAATGCTAGGTGCATATCATTGCTATGTTAAGGCTGGATCTATGAGCTTCCTCAAAAGTCTATTCTGAATTTGTTATACCTCAGTTGTTGCGTTTCTGCTGATCCGAAAAGAGACTTCATTCGTCTGCTTCTGACAGTCAACAACTTAACACCAAGTATGACGTGTATGTACTCCGCGATATCGCGTAGGGGCGCAGTGACCTCACACGTATACTTCCAGTTTCGAGTATATGCACATGGTCAACTACATATGTGGAATATCAACTCAACACGAAAGATATCCGTATTATGTAGGAGGATGGATTAACAGAAAAATCACAGCTTAGCTCAGTAGTGGGACGGCTGAATAATGGGACAGCCAATTGTGTTGAATACCGCATATGTTGCTGAAAATATGGAAATTCTCGGAGGAAATTTCGGCAAATTATCGTCTACACTTCTACCTAAATCGGTGTGGATTTTCATAACGAAGGTAAGAACCTTACGAGCTCAGTTGAGCAAACATATATTCTCACACTCCTTCAGTGCCACATGCGTTGCCTTATATACTCACAAAGGAAGCTACTGTTGCAGCATATGTGAACTTCTCTCAGCTGAAACCAGTAGTTTCCTCACTATGCTATGAAAATTTACCCATGAATTCACCTGCAAATTCCTCGATATTTTGATATGGTAATCACCAAAACATGTAGTTGACCATGTGCATATTTCCCCCCCACACTGCTGTTTATGCCGGCTAGCCCTATTCCATCTACCCTAATTCCACAGTTGATTTCACTAACGCAAAGCAGAGAGGAATCTACAACACTGGAGACCGTTATCAACAACAACAACAGAAATGAAACCACGGTCGTACAAAATCCTCAAACTCGGACGATTCCACTATAGATAAATCACTGAAGCTGAGAATAGCTTTCGGGTGAACTCCCAATAACTCCAGCTCCTTTCGGTTTGCGTACATGCTCTTCGAAAGTGCTCACATACGCATTAGCTTCGCCCTCAATTCTCACCTAGAAAATTAAAGATATCATTTCCGACGTCAATTCACAGATTCGCATACTTGAGATATTCCTCTAAATTCAAGAATATTTGAAATAGTTATTACGGAGCTCATATGTGCGTGCGTGCATGTCACTATTTCTGATTCAAAAAGTAAGGCGACTTCGACGACGACGAACGAAATTATTGCTCATTCTAAGAATATTGACATTCGACGATTTGGAGTTAGCACACCAGACAAAGAATTCGGCATTTCTACGAAAAAAACCTCTCTCTAGCTCAGTAGGTTAAGACTCCAACCCGTCATCCATAACACCCAGGATCGAATCCCACACCCTATAAATCACATTCCTGCGTGTAGTATTATAATTTCACCGAGCTTCATCGCATCGAAGACTTAGTCGCCATACCCAAGCCCGCTCACCGGTGCAGTGCGGACTTCGTTTGCATATTTTGTTTCGGGAGTGTCATCACGCGGGAGCAGCGGCTCAGTTGCATGCCTATGAATGCCACAAATCGATCATTTCAAAAATTATAATTTTCATAGTAGTATTCTCATCCGTGTTGGAATTTCAGCTGAGTTCAGGAAATTCCAAAGCTACTAAAAGAAAGTTGACAAGCAGTGGTACAAAAACCAATAAAAATTAAATTGATATTAGAAGGGCACTGAACACAGTGCAATGGAGTTTCACTCTAGTGATATGCAAAAACACACTAGTGAGAAAATATATTTCACGACTACTGCATATCACCGCGAATATCACGTGAAACGGGTTAAACTCCAATGAAAGAACTCGCTCAGATTTCCTCAGATTCTTAATATTGTCACCAAAACACCTAGTCAACGACGCTGATACCCATAGTTTTATAATTTTATAATACTCACACTGACGAGCGTATCAGGGCGAGCGAGAACACACTTCCCACTTACTCCTCCGTAGACAGTTCTACTCCTTTCTGAGTGATGATTGCACTTTGTGGTGTTTGTACTTTCGGAATAACAACAGCACTTGCCTCAACCACGGGAGTAGCCTCTAGTGTTGTCGAGGTAGAAGGTATCGAGAGCTTCGCCACCATATTTGGTATAGCCTGTGTTAGCGCTTCGACACAGCCTTCGTTTTGTGTTACTGTCGATGCGAAATATCGAGACAGCTGAAATTAGTAGAGAATTCAATCAAACTTTGAGTGAAGACCTCTGGGAATTTACGACTTCACCTGTGAAATGTTCGAGAAAATGCATATATATAATAATACCGCATTTTGGTATTAATAGTAAAATATACAATATAATAAAAAAAAGTTTCACCAGTTTTTCGTGAAGTGGCGTAATACTCCATCTGAAAAACGCGATATGAAGTGAATTGAAAACACCTGGCGAATAACACCGTGAAATACATGACGTGCTTTACGCGTTATTCACTGCTCACAGGCGGTTTTCGCGGAGTTTACTATTAAGGCCAGGCCGTATTTCCTACCGCTTCAACGATCTCCCCAACATCATTCTGCCTGTTGCCGAGAATATTTGTAATATCCTTTTTAACACTTCTATCAAGACGGTCACAGTTCTCCTGAGCTTCTCTAAACTTTACCAAATTCTGATCAAACATCAATTCTATTTCGGGGGAAAAATATGCACATAGCGGTCAACTACATGTGTTGGTGATGACAATATGAAAATTTTTGGAGGAAATTTTGAGAAATTCTTATTAGTTTTTATACATTTTCACTCCAAGTCGTGCGTAAATTTCGGAGTGGGAAAATATTCACATGGTCAACTACATGTGTTGGTGATAATATAAAAATTCTGCGAAAATTCCGGAAAATTCAGCGAAAATTCCGGGAAATTCTGCGAAAATTCCGGGAAATTCTTGTTGGTTTCTGTACACTTCTACCCCAACTCCTATAATTCTTAAGAAAACTCCTCTCCTCAGGTGAGTAAAGCAAACATATATTCCTCCAACACTGCACAATTACTCTGTCTAGATTCTCCTTAGCCGACTCGGATTTGTTTCCATTTTCCACTTTTTCTTGGTATTTTTTCTGCAGACCTGTGGTTTTCACTTCATAATGTGTCAATAGCGCGTGTGCTCGATCGCGGTCAGTCAGATCGGCCTGAAAACACACTTGTGAAATTAAATGAAGCTCACCCTAGTGATATGAAAAACACTAGTGAAAACATATTTCACAATTTCCCCAGTGGAATGCAAATGTGCGAAGACATATACGTCGAATAATTCACATGGAGTATTACACCACTTCACGTTGAAGTATATTGGAGTTTCTTGACCCTAGTGATATGAAAAACACTAGTGAAAAATATACTGCATATCACCGCAAATATCGCGTTTTTCGCCGAGTTTTACACCACTTCACGTTAAACTCTATTGAAGTTTCACCCTAGTGATATGAAAAACACAAGTGAAGAATATATTTCACAAACTACTGCATGTCACCGCGAATATCGCGTTTTTCACCGAGTTTTACACCACTTCACGTAAAACGCGTAAAACTCGAATATGTGTAACAATTTTTCAATGTGCGGTAAAATATATACATGGTCATCTACTACATGTGTTGGTGATGAAAATATGAGAATTTTTGGGAGGAAATTTAGGAGTTTTCTTATTAGTTTCTGTACACTCCTACTTTTTCTAAATTTTTATGTTTACTCTATGAGCAAACATATATTCCTACTCCAACACTTGAGCTTATTACCCTCAATGTTTTGATTCTACTATCAAGTCGATCGATCTTGGTCTTCGCTTTTTCGATCGCCACAAGTGAATTTTCACCACTGTGATTATACTGCGACATTTGTTGTGAGAACAACGCGAATGCCGGGGAAATTCCCTGAAAAAATTATCAAAAATTTTCACAAATTTTAGTAAAAAAATCCAAACCTGTGCTGCAGTTGTCGATTCAGTAGCAGTAGAACTCTTCGGATCAGCCGCCTCTCGAACGAATCGTGCGATGTTGATGTATTTAGCATTCATTCTGTGTTGATCTGTGATTAAATGATCAACCTCTGAAGAAAGTTGCTGAGAAAAAAAATGTAAAATTTGGGCGAAAATTGCGGAAAAATTTACCAACAGTTTCGAGTTGTAGTCTATCAAATCTTTCCGGTCTGTTGTCAAGGGATCTTCGCTGAACTCCTTCACGCCGAACATCTGAAGTAAAACATACACAGTTGAGTTTCACCTTCCTAGTGATATGAAAAAGCACTAGAGAAAAATATATTTCACGACTACTGCATATCGGGGTTTTCACAGAGTATTACGCCACTTCACGTAAAACGGGTTGTGAAACTCCAGTATACGTCTACGTTTTAACCACCCTAGTGATATGAATTCCGAAAAACGCAAGTGAGCAGTGAATAACGCGTAAAATACGTCATGTATTTCACGCGATATGGGGTGATTCGTCCGGTGTAATTCCCCAAGAATTTTCAATTCATTTTGTATCATGTTTTTCACATGAAATATTACACCGATACACACAAGTATAACAACACACGTTGTAATTTACAATGGAGTTTCACCCGTTTTACTGTGAAAAGAAAACACTTCTGATATTCGCGGTATGAAGTGAAATATGTTTTTCACTACTGTTTTTCATATCAATGGAATTTCACCTGGCTTCTAGTCCAGAGCAGGTAGAAGATTCTGTAGCGCCTCGTCGGAGTATGCGTACTCCGAGGGCACCCACGCGTTTCTCCCCCGGGCGTTATACGTCCCGTGGTGGTTACGCCGAGTAGGATTATTGCCTACTGTTACTATCGTTGCCTGTTTTTGTTCGGCTGACGTCATCGAGAATGACCCGCCGTTTGCTGGCTTCTATTATAGTCTCTGCTCTGTCCCCTTGACCGGTCTTGAAATGAGGTCCTCCGTGGCCAACACCTGCTGTTGTTGCCGTTCGCAAGGCCTTAAGGGGAACATGTACTGTAAGCCGGCGCAGATTATCGGTGCGCCAAATAGTAGAGTTCTCGGTCTTGACTTATTCACCTGCCACGGTTCAGTGTGGTGGAAGCGACGACGAGATCAGAGCATCGATATAGACCTAGATGGAGCTGTCACCAAGCGTGATGTGGCTCGGTGGTGTGGGCGAATGGTTGGTCATGTCCCGATAGCTGGATGGCTACGTCCACACGTTGCATTCTTGCTGCGTGCGGTTAGTCGTACGCCATGGGATGAAGATCTGGACGACTCTCTCCTTGATTTGGTCTCCTGCTTTCGATCTGTGCAAGTTTGAGACCATCAACGAGTTGGGCTAAGTCGTCTTCGTCCTCTTCGAATCGGATAGCGAAAGCAGTGCACGGGTCAAACATCACGGATCTCCTGGGTGCAACTTCCCTTGTGGGATCAACGATCCGGGCGAGCGATGTGGGGAGGGTCCCACTTTGGGCGAGCGCTATAGTCGGGGTACGGGTCTCCCGGTACACAATTGGTACCAGGGTCTCTCAAACGAATTCTATTTTTTTTCTGCTCAGCGATTTTCCCTTTTTTTCGGCTACATCTGTCCTACTGTCTTTCATGATGTACAATTTATGTTTTTCATCACTTTTAGGGCTCTGTCCATTCTCTTTCAGCCAACCACTTCGCGGCGCGGCTTCGCTCCGTCTTCTTCTGCTCCATGTTTCTCATTTTTTTCTCCCATGTCTCCAAGAGACGGTTTGAAATTCCTGCTAGTGCACGATTGTTCGTGAGGTTTATACAGAGTATCCGTCTTTTTATGTCTGCAGTAATCTTTTCCTGCTTCAGAATTCTGTTTTTAGTTTATGCACGGCTCATCTATGCTTTCATGTCTGTGCCCTCAAGTATATCACCCACACCATGCTACTCGACAGCGGCATATACTGATTCGCACGCGCTGTTCATCATCCTTCATTGATCTGCCTTAGGGATGCTTCACACCTTCATCAATCGTCTTTTTCGGAACACTTTCTTCGCTATTCCTTGTACTATGATGAATTATGCAGTATGATTCATACTCAACGAATCCATCTACGGTATTTTTGTGTATTTCTTCCAAAGTTTTTGTCCGTATTTCTTGTAAATCGGCGACCATGATGACAGCGTTGTTAGTAGATTATCGTTCTCAACTCACTTTCTTTTTTCTGTCAGTCAATTGAGCTGAAGTTCGGCTACTCAGCTACCAACACAAAACCAATATGTTTTACCGTGTAACATGCGTGAAGGTCGTACGTTGCTGCAAAATCCTCGCATTGACCTGACGCGAAAGCCTGTGAATAGTCCTTCGCGGCATTTTTGTGAAGCGAGTCAGACAAAACAACACTATTCTTCCGATACACGTTAATGCCTTTCCGTAAGCTTACATTCTGTGGCACCGCCGTGCATTTCATGATCGAATTCGATTCATTTTTGTACTTTACGATTTCCGTTTATTGTCGGCTACTTTTGTCCTACTGTCTTTTACGATGTGCATTTCATGTATTTTATTAGGTTTTGGCTTCTGTTTATGTTGTTTTTCCTAGTGATTACGTATCTCGGGTTGCTTTGTTATTTCGTCCTTTGTAACAGGGTTTTATGATATGTCTCTTGGACATGGCTTGAAATTGCTTCATGCACGGTTGGCGGTGGGCCCTCTACAAAGTAATCTTCTCTTTATATGCAGCAAGCTTGTATTGTATAACAATGATGTTTGAAGCCTACATGTCACGGATTATCCATGCTTTTGTGTCTGTGTCCTTAAGTGTATTATCAGCACCATGATATTCGACAGTATATACTGCTTCGCTCGTGCTATTTATCATTCTTCATTGACTTTCGTCAGCGCTGCTCCACACGATTATAAATCGTCCTTTTCAGCGCGCTTTCCTCATTATTAATTTAATTATGATTATAGATTATGATTATAAAGGGTAATCATACAGTATGATTCATACTCAACGAATCCATCGACTGTATTTTTGTGTATTCCTTCGAAAGTTATTGCTCGTATATCTTGCAAATCGGCGACCATCAGGATAGCGTTGTTAATACATGATCGTTCTAAATCCACTTTCTTTTGAATCAAAAGTTTTGATCAGTCGATTGAACTCAATCTGGAACCTAATACTTGGGTTACACGACTAACAACACAAAACCAATATGTTCTACCGTACAACATGCGCGAAGATCGTACTTTGCTGCAAAGTCCTCACTCACATCTTACCTAAAGCGAACGCGTGTGAATAGTTTTTCACAGCATTTTCCATTCTTATTCTGATGCACGATACTCACCTTCCGTCAGCCCACATCTCATGTCACCGCCTTATACAACAAGTACACCCGAGGCTAAACATTTTGTTCGACTTGTGCCACCTAATATTAAACACCAGCAATTTATCATGCAGTTGGTAACTGACTATACGACGGAAATTATTTGGTCACTGTTATCGTTCAGAGTAGTGTAACCCGGTGTCTATTTTACTTTATGTTGTTCTCCACAGACTATGAGTCTGCAATTTGGCTCGGCTTCGACCACCTCCACCATAGCAGCCAGAGCCTCGTCCACTGTAGTTACACTTTGTCGGATGCCTCTATAACCATAAGCACGATTCTGGCAACGTATTTCCATGCCGTAACGCAGGCGGCGGTTTTCCTGTTCGGAACCGCTGATGAATGCTATGTAAGCAATAACCTGCCATGGTCGTCGGCTTAGGGCACTCGTGTACCGTGCGCCGTGACCAGAATTGTGTTGCCGCACCCGCTGGTCGAGATCCGTGCACGTTCCTATGTATGTCTGGCTCGTACTGCTGCTCATCAATAAATATACTACTCCGTTATTCTCCGAAGGCAGCAGTCTATCTGACATTCGTAGTGGACAATCCATATAACTCTGTGCGATGACACGCCGGTTGTTTTGCAACTTCTCCATGAGGTTGTACTCGTATACACTCCACTCATCCACTCGTTCACATAGCAAACGCACAGCGCTCAAAGTATCCACTTGACTGCCCACCAGATACAAATCTTGTAGGCGTCGAACCCTTGACAGCACAACAAACAACTGCTGTCTTTGCCATAATTTGTATTTGCTTTCTACCATAGACACTTTACTGCATAGTGATGTCACAGTTTCCCCAAGCAGCTTATGTACGGTTGTACAACTGCTCATACGCAGAGGAAGTTGCGCCCGTCTGCAATGTATCCGAGAACCAGCTTGAACCGTGTGATGTGTCACGTACCCGATTTCGGCACGAGGCCATTCGCTTTCCGTGAGCATCGAACCGTTTGTAGAGGGTGGTGCGATGCGAACACACACTGTTTGTGAATCACTATTTATGCTTTCAACCATACACATTTGTCCTTGACCCCAGCGTCGGCGGCTATCAATATTTGTAAAGCGCATTGGACATCTCTCCACAATCTGTAACTTACGTCTTTCTCGAGTACGACGATCGAGTACTTTCTTTTCTTTTTCACTTGCGGCTCTCCAGCTCCCTCCATCATTGTCAGTCGCCTCGTCGCGTGCCTCGAAGACCACAGATCGCGCCCCGCCTCCAATTAATCTCTGTAAGTCTCTGTTGGTAGCGTCTTCTTGAGCCCGGCGTTTACCAAACACTTTCACGCAGTTCGGTGGAACTGCTTCCCACTCTCCTGTCCAACTGCATTTGCTCGCTAATATCTCACATACTTCTTCAATCTCAGCTTCGCTCATCACAGGCTTTGCCATTAAGCCTAAGACGACTTGTAAGGCTTCATCCGTCGCGGCCCGGACTGAGTGTTCTAAATGGTAGACAACGAAGCTCGTCATAAGACATGGATCGACGCTCAGTCGTATACCTGAGGAGATGTTGCATCCACTATTGCGCTATAGTCACGACGATGATGAGGAAAATTTAATGCCTATGATCTTATCGTAGTCTCTATCACTCTTAGCAGTGATTTCACATGCAATGGAGTATTCCCTTAACTCAAATAACTGAGTAGCTCTATTATTTAACTAACAGACTGTCTATTGACATACCTGATACAGGTGGAAGCTGCCGATAATCCCCTGTAGTGACCACAAACAGGCCTCCACATGGAGCAGGGTTACTGCGGATTTTTCTCAGCAGTATATCGATAGTATGATACATAGCAGAGTTCACAGTTAGGACTTCATCTATGACTAATCCATGAGCTTGTTGCAAACGATGCAGTTGTGCTGGTCTCGATGCCAGTTTTCTGTATGCTTTATATGCATTTTGTTCGGGTGTGTTCTGATTCCACTGGTCTTCGATTGGTAATCCAAATTCCTGGTGGAGATGCGACCCTCCCAAGGATAGAGCGCGTTCTGATCCTAGTGAGGTATGACAACCGACATCCCGCGGGATAGCATGAATATCGTAGGAGCTTCGCACGTGGCTTTTCCCGCATCCTGGCATGCATTCGATCAGCACCAATGGGCTGTTCCGTCTGCCAACCAAGATTTACATCGCCCAACAATACCGTCCAGGACCTCTTGTTGTTCGGCAGCAGACTTTTCTGTTTGGCCAGAAACGGGAGTGATCCTAGGCTCCCATTCTGATGGGTTCCTCAGAGTTGCCGCACGAAGTTCTTCTGCCCTTGGAACGGCATCTCCCAGTTCGGTCGTCATGCATTGTATTATGCGCTCGCGGGCCTCGTTGCACAGGTCGGGCCTCAACTATACCGGCCATGCAGAGCTCTTCCTCTTCTACAATAGGAACTTCGTTGTATGCTATCTCGTTTTCGAGCAGTAAGCTGCGAAGTACTCTGTCAGCGCCTATAATGCACGTATCGAACCCCCGAGTACCACCAAAAGGATGATACATGAGGTCATCAACGATATAACTCCGGAGGAGAGCATCAACATCTGCTGGCTCAGGGTTCCGTTCTCGAGGTATTAGTCCGGCTACGCGAAAGGCCTCTGTCATAGACCCCGCCGCGTAAAGATCCAGTTCGGTCGTAAAATGACCGCGTGACAGCAAGATGTGCACCAGGAATCCCAACACGTTGCTTGGCTTCGGCAGCGAAGTCACAACTATGCCCCGTTTTTTCCCGCTCTTTGAATTATCCACAAATCTCTTGTATAATGGATCATCCTTGCTTGTATCCTCTATATTTTGCAGTACTTGCCGATAGACGTCGTACCCTATAGAATCATCGCTTTCGATAGCCCATAATTGAACTGCTTCTATGGCTGATTCACGTATTCGCCACTGACGACTAAAACAGTCCACCCATGGTGACGTCCTTAGATCTTCTGTTATGTCGTCTTGTCCGTTTTGTGCACGTTTCCACGTGAACCATTCCAAAAATTTAACGGGATTATCCACAAAGCGGAGCTCCGGTGGTCGTAGCTGGAAAGCCACGAGGTTATCTATACTACATTCTGAGAGTAAGGCGCTTCTGTATAATAAACGCTGATTCTCTGTATATTGTCGATTCTCGCTCAGCCCTTCGATGTCACGTCGATGGTCGACACCACTAGCTTCAGAAAGATCTCTCGCGTATCGTTTTCGTGTCCTCCCACTTCTCTGCGAGAGTGGTCGCGTTGGACATGCTATAAAATCTTCGTCTGTTATAATATATGGTAAGTCGAACACCCACCAACAAGTCTCCGTCGACGCCACTAGTCTACAATCCTCTCTCCACTTCCGTTTCCCCAACCGACTTTCACGCATCCTATGTCGGCCTAATTTCCGATTCCGAATCCGGTCAACATTGATGGTGACCACACCATTGGGATCTGGTCGTGCATCAACCGAAGCTCGTTCTTCTGCTCCACACAGGTATTTACTTAAATACCGTGAATTAAAATATTTGTCACACACTTGTACATTTGACGAAGACCTCGTAGCTAAGAATAATCGTGGCACCGTTGGCGACACGTGCTGTCCCACATCCGCTGAATATTGGTGTCTACCCGCTTCCAGTTCTGCACCAACCACAATTTCGTTACTTCCGTGACCCCTACTTGCCAAGCCTACTCGAAGCAAAACTTCAAGAGCCTCGCCGGAATGTGGAGCGTGTATCCTCTCAAACGAGTCACTGTATGACGGTGGATATTGTGGTACGCGACATTCGCTTATGATTCTTTCTGTTCCACTGTTGTCGTTGGAGACTACTTTCCTTCTTTTGTGACATCGGAAGTCAGCCCGCTCACAGCTGTGGCTTTGTATCCGCTCATAGTCACTATAATATGTGACCCATTCTTCGGGTCTCTCGAGAAGTCCTTCTGCGACTAATTTCTCGCTGTCTTCCTCACTCACCGTTAATCCATCGCCAATATCATGTATGCGACTTGTAGCGCATTCGATTCGATTTCTTGCCTCTTCATCACTAATCTGTTTTTCCAACTTGGCCAGCAAATGCAAGTGAGGTAAGTTACCTGCCGCGTCCTGAAGCAATGCTGTAACTATTGTTAGTCTATACCTCACAATCACAGGTTTTCTATCATGCATGCCCCTAACTTACTTGGAATTCTACACGTGCGAAGACAGCTCCAACCGGTCCCAACAGTTCGGTAGAACTGCTGATGTATTGAACGAAATACTTCAACACTCTGCTCCACGCCAAACATATATCGACCATCGTGCCCTCTTGGACGGCTGCCTGTTCTGACTGTGGCAAATTTGAAATGTACTCAGTGATAGCCTTCCGCAGAGGTGCGATACCAAAGTGTTTCCGCTGATTACAAGTCAGAGTTACAAACAGTTTTGTACACTCCGAGTCAGCCTTCAGACTTGCAGCCAATCGCCGTACTTGTTGTCTGCTATCCAATTCCTCCAACGGTAAAGGACACTCATCGCGATCAACAGCTGTAGCGCCCCGTGTTAAGGAGTAATATCCCCGCCGTATGATCAGTCTAGAATCGGTGTGACCTAGCCGCTTGTTGAATAATACCCCAAAGGCATAGCTCAAATAATCCGTGTTGCGCCCAGTCTGTAGGCTTCCATCTGCTAACCGCGTTAAGAGTTGATCACTCACGGAAGCTAATCCAGCCGACTCCCGTGAAGATATTTCACTCCAGGCACTCAGTGGTATCGCTCCTTCCACACTGTTATCTTCTGTTCCTTGGAAAAAGAGGCCAGCAAATAGACTGGCTTCAGGCAGTTCCAACGTCAGCATAGTCTCTGGACTCCGGCTCACAATCTGTTGCAAGAAGCGCTGTTCTGCTGTATTCAAGGACATCGTATATTTATCCCGCTTCAAACAATGTAAAAGCCCATTGATGATTACGTGACCACCCACAATTTCACTGCATACAACTTCTGTAGCCCGCTGCTCTTCGATTCCATCCCACTGTGAAGGATTTTCATCATTGCTCTCGTCACTATTCGTATTCAATTGTTGCCCACCATCGAAAGAATTTTGTTCAATCTCGGCGGACCGTGGTCGCACTCGTATTATATTCTCCGCTCTTGAAAAGTACTCCTTCGCATGTTTCCGACAAATACCACACACGCAACCTCGAGTTGGACACGAGAAGTACATTTTCCGTTGACATCCATCCACGGTACAGTATCGACTTCGACCGTGGACTTCTCGAACCAAATATCGCTCACACACCGCACATTCTACTGTGGCTTGACCGCCTATAAAAGCCAACATTGCTTGCTTCGCATTCGCAAGTTCTACCCCATTTGTCCTAGTGTAGACTAAGATATTCCATGAGCGTAGCTCATTCTCACTTATACCATCTCGTTCACACTTTGCAGCTCTCCACTGCTGGTTAATACTCCATACTGCTTCCCCAGCACGGATGATCAGCTTTTCCCTACTGAATACGAAACGTAGAGTCCATTCGCTACCATTCGCTGCAATGAAACCCGTCTTGGGCATCACTGTTCGCCTCCGTGATCCCACAACTGCGGACGTGCTAAGTATCATAACTGAACCTTCGATGACACGGCGCTCAACCTCATTCCATCTTCGTTGATCCCTGCCTGGCATATGCTGAACATGCACCCCGGTTATCCCAGAAAAGAAGTGACTAAATGCAACTTCAAGGGGGATAGCGCCGACATCGTCGGGACCCCGGCACCGTGTATCAATCAATCTGTTCACATTCGCGATGTGCCTCAAATGATTCAAAAGTCGGCGTTGTAAACCACTCCATGATGTCTTTTGTCGTACCGCCAGCACCTTCTCTGATATTATCCACAAAATGTTTGTCTTCCAATTATCATCAGCATCTTCACATGTTTTCACTACCTGCCGCCAAATCGCGTTTTCGTTGATAAGTACCATAATGATAGCCCACGTTATTCTCGAACATCCTCTACCCCATGCTTGTAATAATTTCGGATACTCATTCCACCTATTCGTCGACCGCAACTGATATACTTCTCCAGGTAGAATTATGTCGGTGCTACGTTGTCTGCCATCGTCTGCAGCCTCCTCGGCCATATCGTCAACCTCTCGTAAAACCGTATCCGATATTTTGCATCGTATTCCCGTATTTCGCACTCCGCAGCGCATAATCTGGTCGGAAGGCACCCATAAGCCTGCATCCCGATTTTTCACCAGTCTTTTCACACTATATTCCGGCCCGGTTTCCAGATCTCGCATGACCGTGACGGGAATGTCGCCAGTTTTATATCTTTGTCTCGTTAACTCCCGGATATCACGACGCTCGTGGAATAGCAGATTGTCGTGCCGCTGTTTATAATACCCACCTACGTCCCAGCGCCCGCTGTGCTTCACGATGAAGGACGACACACCCTTAAATCCCGCCGTAGCTTGGAGCATCCTGTACGTATATCCACTATAAGTCGGTTTCCCAAATCTCGCTACATGACTGCCAGCAGCTGCCACGCCAAGTGTGTCACCTTCTGTTGGAGGAAAAAGCGAAATTGGGTTCTGCGGTAAGTGCAAAAACTCTCCAACTATGCCTTTAGAATGCCGCTTGCAGACTAAAAGGCATAAACCATCGGAATCTGTTCTGCATGAGCTACTTCGTATCTCCCATCTCAAAAATTGTATAGCTTGTAGCCAGTCCGCTCGCCGTCGACAGAGATATTTACCAAAATTCGCTCCGCAACTGTTGAATCGCGGATCTATACCTTGTATGACATGCGCGTAACTCAGTAATTCAGCCTCATCGATGAATATCCAGCATCCAAAAGGGCACCTTACTGATCGGACGCATTCCGAGTTCAACGCCCGCATCAACGATCCAAGACGGTTTTCGCTCACAGCGCGATGGAAATTTTCCAATCGAATTGTCACGTCAACAACGCTCGCCTCATGCTCATCAACCTCTCGCAACTCTCGCCACCACATTCTAATATCTGTAGGTAAGACTTTCCATACCTCTGCTCCTATGTTATCGGTGAGTTGTAAATGATATGCTATCACGCACGGCCAGCATTCATTCCATTTTGTCGTCGAATTACTCAAATACCGCTTGCAAAGTCTGCACAGTAGCACGCGGCGCCTCAGCCGCAGGTCGTTCCTTCCCAGTGCTCCATATTTTTTACTCCGCAGGCCTTGTGTGACAATCATCGATAGTTCCAGTGGCGCTGCCCAGTACGGTTGACGTAGACAGCTCATACACCGTGCGACGACGTCGCTTCCTTCAACTTCGATCAAGGTTGAATCGGAAACTTCTATCGTGCGGTCGTCTCGTTGTGCCTGATTCTTTAGCAGTCTTACACTTGCAGCAGTACGTGACTTCCTCCGGATCTTACCTGCGACTCACAATGCTGACAGCGACCGCATACAGTCGTATATCGGCCACAAATGTGACACTGCTGCTTAGGACCAATCATCTTTCAACTACAGCGACCGAGGGGTGGCGCAGAACTTCGCAAGTTCGAGTGCCCCGAGGATGCTCAGTTGTCCGCACGTAAACTCCCCCACAGTATTAACAGACACTACAATACTCTTGTTAAGGACACGCAAGTTAAAGGAGGTTCGGTTTCTCATCTGCATGTATAGCTAACGTGAGTGGTATCAATGGAACGTCAACGTTGACTGTGGGAAGATTAGGTGAGAGAGGTCCTACACAACACACAACAGAGCTGAGAGATGGCTGATATCACACAACTTTCCCCAAGGTCGTCAGGTTAAAGGTTATACAATGTTGACCTGCCAAAGCAAGCAAAACATAGAATCACACAACATACTTAGTTCTTCGTACTAGCTTGCACAACACCTCGGACACGCCACCTCGCTATAGCTCCTTCGGTTTATACGTCTGACAGTGTACCCTTACGGCTTACAAAACGCTTTATTCTTACCTCGTGGGCTCTGACACAAGCCCTGCTTACGTTGACTGATGAGCTCATTCAACATCTTGGCCGTGGCGTCATTAACTCCAGCCAATGATGCGAGGAATGAAGATGAGCATTGCTCAGCTTCTTCACGGCTCATACTCCACCCGATGTCATTCACAGCACTACTACTGCTGGCGCTTCTGCTATCTTGCGACCCAGAAGAGGGGAAACTGGTGAATAAAAAATGAACTATAATTTATCCTACAAAGGATTACCTCCTTCTCTTGCCGGATCTCTCCGGCACTAAGGTGATTGGTACAGTTTTTCTTTTAGATGTGGTGTTATTCCCTCCCCCGAGGACGATCACTTTCTTGCGTTCACCAGTGTCTGAACTACTCAATACGTCTACATTCACCACCTCACGGCTACTCTTCTTCTGTTTAGAAGTCGCTGGAGGGGGCGTAAACTCGTTCACCTGAGAAAATCATGTGCAAAAGAGTTTGTATCTCATTCCCTACTTCTTCGTCAGGCTCCTCATCAACCTCCCATCGGATTTCTTGCACTTCCTCAGAAGCTACGCGCAGTGCGATTATCGTTTCTTCCAGTGCCTCCCACTGTGCGGGCCAAATTGCTGAGATATGCAGCTTTTCTGTGAGTTTATACAGAGGTGCCGAAGTAGTCC